AAGGCTATGCCTCAAATGCTGCTGAGTCTCAGAAGGCCCTGGGCTAATAGTCACCCAGTCCAAAGCACTACCAAGTGTGCAGCTGGGCATACCCATGTCTGGGTACCTCTTTTCTGTTCTCCTAAGTGACTTTGACCCTGATCTGCAAAACTCAGAATCATGGGTCCTCTCCCCATCCCTGACTACTCTGCCATCTCTTTCCAAGCTGACCTCAATTCTAATATGGTGACCCAGCTGTGAACAGGCCGATCTCAGAGGCTGCAGCAGATGGTGGCACCTCCAGAGAGACCCTGCTCAGACAGTCCTGTGACCCCTAGCTCTGAGCAAAACGGTCTCTGCTTGGATGTCGGAGTAGTTCTCACTTTGCCCCCAGCTGCCTGTCTTCCCTCCAGCATGTACCTCCAATGGCCACCTCTTGTCTCGCTCACCTCTACCTTCTGAGCCCAGGACACATTCTCTGACTTCTTCAGAAGGAGAAGTCCAAACAATGCTAATTGCCCTCCTGGGGCCTGGAGCCCAGCCAAAGATAGCAGGTATGCAGCCTGCACCTGTCCATAGCACATGACCTGCTTGGAGTACTGGGCAATCCCATACAGGCCAGATGGGGGTGAAGGTGGAGCTGGTCAAGCTCCTGATGCCTCAGGGCTGAGGTCTCGTGGGAAGGGGATAGCTTCCTCAGATAAGGGAAGGGGAGGCAACAGAAACACCTTCCTTGCAAGGACCTGGAAACCTTACATTCACAATGGAGATACAGGCAGGGCTCTGTGGCTATAACCTCCTGGTGAGTCTGCCCACAGTACTCCCCTGGTACCAGACACTGTGCTACTGCCCACACACATTAGCCCTTACAATCCTGCAAGGTGGCTCTCCTGACACCCTGGGCACATGAGGCAGCCATGGTACAGCAGGCTCCCACTCACCTGAGCTGGCACTGTTCTTAAGCGGCTGGGATGGGAAAGGCCATTTGAAGGTGACATCAATTCCTTTAGAAAGAGGAAATCAACATGCATTTCAGGTAAAAGAGCTTTCCTTCAGAACTCCCTTCTGCTGTGAGAAAGAGCCCATGCTGGATGCTTTGGGCTAGGCGTGTGTGTTATGTCGCTGCAGCATTCCAGCACCTGCAGGAAAAGCTATTGCTGTCTCCATTCTACGGGTTAGAAAATCAAGGCTCCGAGCAGTCCACTGACCTGTCCAGGGTTGCACAGTGTGCAAGCCAGGTTGCATGCTTAGCTTCTCCCTACAGTGCCATGCCTCCTGTCACACCCAAGGCTGAAACTCACACTGGAGTCTTGGAAGCTGCTGCCTGCTCTTTCTCCATGACAGAGAAAGGGGCAAAGAAGCTGGAGGTGGCCTTGGGATCAGTCCTGCAGAATCATCCTCACACCATGTGAAACAAGGGCAGGTGGCCCAGGCACATTGGCCCAGCATTCCTGTTTCCCTCTCCTGTGCAGATTTCTAGAGTAAACCCTGCAGATCCAGTTTTAAAACAAACACCCTCAAGGCTAGAGAAAACTCCTATGGCAATGCTCATTGCTCTTGTGACCCAGGAAGTCCAAGCTGGGCTTTTCAGCCCGGTGAAAGGGCTCCTTGCTCAGCTGGGTCAGCTCAATTGCTAATTTGCTCTTCCAAGAGCTCACTGGTCTTAGCAAAGAGTCAGCAGTCATTGTCCAGATCCACCGTGGCTTCCCTTCTTGAAGAATGCAATTAATGAATGGTCAATAAGGAGCTTGTACTGCCAGAGGAGGGCTGGTCTAATGGAATGGGAGAAGAAAACAGTGCTGGTAATGTAAGACCAGACATGGTTCCCATAGGCCACTGTCTTGAATTAGAGCCCCTTGGTAGGATATGGGTTCTAAATGACAAAGCCTCAAGACTGCACCCCTTCCAAAATAATCCATGGGATGTTGATCAGAGTAGGGGCTGATGTCATCTGAAGACAGAGCCCTGGCTACTGCTCTTACAGTTGGTGATCCAAATTCATGGTCATGACAAGTTTGACTGAATATGTTTCCATTAGGTGGATATTCCTGGGCCCTCTGGGGTGCAGAACTTGGGGGTGAGAGGAGCTGGGACAGGGGCACACAGCCTGCCAGGAAGCCATCAAGGACCAAGCCTTGGTTTCCAGGTACATTTTCTCCCTCTGGCTCTCCTTGCATTGGGCACTCAGAGCAGAGTTCACCAAGACTCCCGGCTGCCTCCAGGAAGGGGGCCTCTCAGAGCTGCCCAAGGGGCATCAGGCTGCTTCTCACACAGTCATCTCTGTCCTCATGGATGCTGTTTCCACCATGTTCTATATGAGTGAGGCCCAGTGTGGAATCTACTAGCATGGCAGTGGCAGGGAAGGGAGGAAAGTTGGGTCAGGAGCTGGGGCTGGCAATGTCTTTTCTAAGACCGATCCTTGCTCCTGCTCTGATTGCCTCCAGGAGCTTCACAATGAGCCCTGCTGAGCCATGCAGAGCCCTGGGTGCAGGTGCTTAGGGAAACCAGACTGAAGAGGTGCAGCGGCTCATGTGAGAGCCCTGGGCCAGCTCCTGGGTCACGCTCAGCCATGCTGTGAAAGGCACATCAGACTGTAACTAACAAGCTGGAAGTAGTTAAAGTAGCCCAGTTACAGCAAATCACACGATGAAGCCAGGCTTTGGAGACTGGGCTGAAAAAAGAGGGGGATGGTATTCTGTACAATCTGGATGAAAATAGGGGACAAAGCTGCAGAGGAGGGGGCTGCATGTTGTGGGGTCAGCCCTTCCAAAGCAGCCTGTTTCGTAGCCCACCCTGTGGCTGAGTGTGGGGTTTCCCAGAGACACAGCTTCTGGCTGCCCTCCTCAGACAAGGCTGAATTCACACTTGGCCTTGGTGGCACCTGGCAGTCAGAAGGGCTGACTCTGCCTTCCTCCTGTCTGTGGCTCTGCTCCTGCTTAACCCTCACTTGTAGGAAGACCATTCCCCTGCTGACCAGATTTAGAAGTTGCTTCCTCTGCAGTCCAGGTCCCTGCCTCCAGCTCTAATTCTTCCACGTGAAGTAACTCTCTCTGTCTTTTAAATCATTCTTATGTAATCTACTCGGTTGTCACATTATCACTGATGGCCTGATTCCCAGTGCTAAAACGTAGGCTTCACAGGGCAGGACTCTAACTCTGACTCACTGGTGTGTATCCCAGAGCCTGAGGTACTAAGTTATCATTAGGTACTGCTTGAATGAATGATTAGTGGAAGGACAGCCTGCTCATTACTTCATGAGTGGCACTGGAGAAGCAGTCCGAGGTTGCCACAAGGCAGGAAGGAGATGTGACAGGGGCTGGGTGACCATGAGTGTCTGAGTCAGATGCAGCATGTTAGCTCCTGTCATTGTCAGAGGAATGACTGTCCACTGGAAACCAAGTGAGAGAACCTGGCCAGTGGTGGCTTTCCTTACCTCAGTGCTGTCCTTGGCTCTGAGCAGCAATAATCAAGCAGATGTTTCTGAGGGTAGAGGAGCAGCAGGGACAGGTGAGGCCTTGATTGGGACAGAGAGGAATCAAGTGGGCCCAGGCTACTCAGTTTGGATCGTGGGTCATTGCCTGGTCTTTGCCTCTCCTATCAAGAGACCTGGGTAGCACTGCTCTCTCTGGCTGGGTCCAATGGCAGCCATGAAAACTGAAACACCTATCTGTACCTGCAATGGGAGCAGGAGTCATTCTGTTCCCAGAGAGACAGTGAAGGTCCAGACAGGCTGGGGGCCTGCAGCTCAAAAGCTGATCCAGGACCCTGCCCATGGTCATGCTGCTGACACTGAACATCCAAGTGTTTATGCTTCTCCAGGTCCTGTTCTTCCTTCCAGGGATGCTTTTCTCACCTGGAGGGGTGGGACTTGGAGGCGATGGAGGCAGTAAGAGTCTCTGTTCTTGGGAACCACCTTCCTCCACACTGAGATGGAAGTTGATGCAGCGGGATCCAGCCGCACTTCAAAAGGCAGCTTTTGATTCTTCTACAGGGGAACAGTGTAGAGTTCATCTAAGCATTTGCCTAATAGCACGGAGGCAACCCAGCTGTGTCTCTAATGGGCATACTGGGCACAGCTCGCCAAGCTTCAGCAGAGGAGCCACATGGATTGGGTGTGTCCTGACACGAATCCTGTCCCCCAACTGAGCCACAGCTGAGATGGGTGCTTTCCCAACACCCTGAGGCCCCTTAGTGCCACAGAGATCAAAGGGAATGCCAGCTCAGAGGTGCATCTCACTGTTTGCTTAGACGGAGTTGGCTCCCTGCCTTCCGTCTCGGCGGGTCCATCCCAGCCCTGCTACTGTCTTGTGCTTTCAGAGGATGGAGTGAATTCTTCAATTCCTTACTATGAAAAGCATGGGCTCATTCTCACCTCATGCCATATACCCTGCAGACACTTTGATCCCTCAAGTTCAAGTCAGGCCACATATTCTGTCTTTGTATCCCACGCAGTTCTGCCTTTGAACGTACCAGCTGCTCCCGAAGACGCTCTGGCTCTGCACACAACTCCTGCAAAACCCTTGCACACAACCTTCAACCCTTGGCTCCCATATGCTTCCCAAGCATCTCCCTTCTCCATTCCCACACCCTCACCCTTTCTTTCCTTAGAAAGTAGCATTGTAGTAGGTTTGTTGAGCAATCCTGCTGTCTGGTTAGAGCAAAACTAGCTAAGCATTGGCAATGTTTTGCGTTAAAATGCAGCATTTCCATGCAAAGTGCTGTTTCCCATCTAAGCTCTTGCAAGGGCACTGCGCCTTCCTCTGCTGAGGGCACAGGGTGTCACCTGGGGGGTACCGCTGAATACATGAATGGGCTCCACTTGGCAGGCCTCTGTGGGCTGCCTGTTCATGCTCCAGTACATGCTCCAACACAAAATCGCTAACGGATTCCAGGGCTACTGTCAGACATTTCACAGTTATTCAGCCCAGCCCAGCCAGGCTCCAGATGTCCATCTGTGCGGGCCAAGTGAAGCATGAAGCCCCTCTGGGATGTGAGGACAGCGAAGGGCTCAGGATGACTACCTTTCTGGAAGAGGAGGCAGTGTTGACAGCCGGTGAAGAGGGAGGAGCAGCTGAGTCAGGAGACGGAAGACAAGAGGGAAGAGACGGAGGAGGAGTGTGGTGAGATAGGTCTTTAGCGAGCAGCTTATTCTGCACAGAACAGAGACAGAGGGAACTGGAGTTACCCAGGGGCAGTGATGCAGGCATCGATGACACGGCCCTATGCTAATGGACTTGGGGCACAGAGAGGGAAGACGGGGGGCTTGTGTCTCTCAGCACCAGGCAGAAAGCTGTGTTTTTGGAGCCAGGCAGGATTATTTGGCTCTTGGTTGGTCACTCAGCATTCTGCTACAAACCACGCCAGTGTCCGTGTCACACCAAAATAGCTCCAAGCTCCAGCAATTCTGTTTCTGCTCCCACCCTCCACATACACCAGCACCAATGACCCAGTTTCTGGAGCTCAGCGTGAACTGGCAGCTGCAGGCTCAGGTAGGGAGCTGCTGCTGGCTGCCTCGTGGCAGCTGCGGTGGGCAGTTGTGCCGGCCTTCCTGGCAGCCAAGTGCCACTCTGACAATCAACTAAACCTAAAGCATCATTCCTGCACCCACGACTTGACCAAGTCTCGGAAGACAGCATGGAGGAAGGCAGCAGAGAAGGTAAGTTTTAGAGAAGGGCAGAAAGGGGTTGTGACCTCATGGTCACTTGTGACAGGCTCTCTTCTCTTCCTTCCCTCCAGCAAGTTTCTAAATCGGGAACTTGGAGGGGGCTGCATATCCAGTTCTAAGGCAAAGTCACTCTGGCTGGATGTTGCCTCCTGCTGAACCAGAACCCAGCTTAGAGCACGACCTTGACCTCAGCCTTCAGGGTCATCCTGATCAGGGGCTCAGGGATGTCTCTATGTAGCACCAGATAGCCTGGGCAGCTGGTTTGCTTTCACCTTAAAGGCAGTGCTATTCCTGTGACTGACCAGTACGCCTTCTTTGCATGGGCCCTTAGGAAGCTCTGGGCTGACTCAGAACCTGCCTAGGACTTAACACGGCCCACACATCTGGCTAGTAATGTTTTTCTTTAACGTATGCTCATTTTCCTGCTTTGGTCTTCCCTTTTCAAGGTCTATCTGCTTATGCTGTATTTCTCAGTTGATTTTTTTCCCCCAGATGCCAGCCCAAACATTTTAGTGGCTTAAAAAAAATGAACAGTCATGCAATAGAAGGCAGTAGGAGCCAGTCAAGTTCCAGAGACTGCTCTTGGTCAGCTAGTCTCTGGGTTCTGGAGGACGAGGGCCCAGAGCACCAGGTTTACCTGCTGGAAATCAACGTGTCCAAACATGGAGGCCAGGTGGGCCGCCTTCTCCTTAATGTTCTTTTTGTGAAACTCTCTGTTGGCCAAGTTCTGGGCCCTTTTCTGAAGTCAAGGCAAGAAAAGAGAAAGAAGAGAGAGTGACAGAAACGATGGTGGTGCCTTGGAGAGAGGGGTGAGGAAGGCAGACAGTCAGGTGTCAGGGAGCAAGCAGGAGGAAACCACCCCTCCCAACACACATACACACTTCCCAGCACCAGGGCCAGGAAGAGGAGGAGCTATGATAGGAAGTCACCCAGGTATGGCCTTCATAGGGCACAGAGTCATCTTTCACCTGGATAATCTTTTCTTCCACCTGCTGTAGCCGTCGCAGCACCCCGGAAAGGGCCAATGCCCCCTGGCAAGTAGGAGGCAGGCCATCGGAGGTTTTGGGCCCACCCAGTTGCAGGTCAGACTTGGCCCTGGCTCTCCAGGGCCTGCTTGGGCACTCGCCGCCAGCGGACACTTGCTTCAGCTCTCGGAGCACATGCCCTGGCACAACCGTGGAGGGGAACTGAGAAAGAGGGAAAATCAAGTTTCTTTCCCTCCTGTTGCCCCTGTCCTAGGCCCCACAGAGGGAACCCCTTTCCACACCCCCTGCTCCCTGCTCGGGGCCCAGAGCTGAGAGGCCACACCCAGTAAGACTCTGGATTAACTTCCTCCATCTGCCTCAGAAGATGTGATTACCCCAGGACCTTGGAATCAAAACCCAATGGAACTTCTGTCCTCAGTCCTAGCTAAACATCTGAGATAATCTTGGGGGGTATGGAAAGCCCCCAAGTCTAGTCCAGTCCCCGGAAGTAGTTTGATGGGACTAGAGGGGCATGGCACCTGGGCATGGGTGTACAAGGCTCCCCAGGTGAGTAGATAAACTTGCTACACTCTACACACACCTGTCTTGCTCCGCCTCCACCTCCTGGAAACCAGCTCAGACTTCCTGATACCAACCAAAAGTCCTCAGCCCTGTGGCCAGTGAGAGCGATTCTGTTGATTCCAAATCCAGTGAGTGTGGCTGGAATGAACGACAGCTGGTGGCGGCATTGTCTTCTTTGCCCAGTGTGCAGGTACCTGGCTAACTCTGGCACCAAGTAAGTCACTGCATCCAAGCCTTGCCTTTTTGGGGTAGGAAGTCAAGTGGCCACCTGTACCTGCATCAACATCACCTGCTCATTGATTTGGACAGTCAACTACTCCAGTGGTCAGTGTTTACATAGAGCCAAGTGTGGCAGGGGGCATCACATGAGACTCCAGGGACTGAGGTTCAGCTGTCCCCAGGGAACAGCATTAAGAGCATGGCGGTCAGTTAGCCATTGCCACCCACTGGCTGAGGGCTCAATGGCATGTATTAAGCGATGATGTGTACTTAGTGAATTTCACCTATAAGGGTGGCAACTTCAACCCTGGGCCACTGGCCAACAGATTCTACAGTTAGCCCTATCTGGGGGTGTGACAGGAGCTCTGTGACCCTACCCCCTCCTGTCAAAGTCCCCTCTTGGCCTCATTCAAAAAGCATCCACTGGACGGAGCCCTACCTGCCTTTTCAGAGGAGGTGATGGGCTGGGTGTGGGCTCATCCGGCTTGGGGCAGCGAGAGCTAGCAGGAGAATCAGAGGAAGAGCACAGGGTGGTCTTACCTAACCCCGAGACACAGCGTTCCTGGGAGGAGAGAGGTGAGTCCCCAAAGGCAGCCACAGGAGACAGGAAGGAAGAGGTGAGTCAGATAGGTATGCAAGGAGAGAGAAGCAAGGGGGAACATGGAGAGGCAATGTACAAGTACAGATGGAGCACTCGGTGGAGCTTCTGCTTGCTGGGCCCAGCCTGGAAACTTGAGCCCTGGCTCTCCGTGCTTGTGAACAGCCTGTCCTAGAGGCCCCTCCTCCTGGACAATGTGTGAATCCTAGGGAGGCTTTGCTTTTGGCTCAGACACAGAGCCCTGGGTTGGCACTGCCAAGAGCCTATGCTTGGCCAGGTGGCTGGCCCGGGGATCCTCCTGAAGGCGGGAAATCTTCCCACCCACATGAGGATGAGGCCGTGTTGGTACATCCGATGGGACAGAGAGCTGTGGTCAGCACTTGGCAACTGAGCGGGACCAGCTTCCAGAGGAGGCATTGAGGACATTTCTAGAGAATCGCAAGTCTCTGGAAAGTGGCCCCCTTAGAATAAAGCAACTCCATTGCCTGGAGACCTGCAGCTGGGCCAGGACCAATCAGACATCAAGGGTCAGCTCTGGGGCTAAGGAACCCAGAGTCCACCCTCCTGAAACAGCCTCCACTGTCATGGGGCAGATCCTCTCTGCCCAAGCTCTTGTAAAGGGGCAGCAGCTCCCTTCAGGGAAATTTGGGGTGGCCTGGAGGGCAAACAGGGCCCAAGACAGGCCCAGCAGCCAGTCAGAGAGATGATCCCAAGGCATTCAACTTTTTTTCAGCTTCTGACTGGCCTTGGGGCAGAGGGCTTGGCATGGCCAGGAGACACCTGAGAGGTGACAACAATGCTTCAAGACCTCTAATTCCCTTTCCCTGGACTTGAGGTTTACAACATGGACGATGATCCTACCCTCCCAGGCGGTTGGCAACTTAGCAAGTTTCTGCAAGTTGTGCCATCTCACATAGCAAAGCAATATCAAGTAAGACAATGGATTTCTTCAATGCACAACAGGTGCCAGCAGTCTGGCCCACTGCCTGCTTTTGTAAATAAAGTTTTGTTGGAACATAGGCTCCTTTGTCTTAACCACTCTCATGCTTCCAGGCTAAATTGTTCAGTTACCAGAGATGGCACTGCTCTGACACACAGAAAAAATTACTATCTGGCCTCTTTTAGGAGGAGACTCCTGATTTAGAAGACTCTTGAGTGCTGCTTCGATTAGGCCTGACTGGCCTAATAGAAATCCATTTCCAGCCAGAAACACTCTATTGCCTTCCTGGCAGCAGATGATCGCCAGTGAGGCAGGTCCACTGAACACTGCCCAGGACTCACCTGCTTCAGAAGGGAGGGGTTCCGAGTGCTTTCCTCAAACTTGGCCCGCAGCTGATTCGCCATGGACTTGACTTTGTTCTGATTGCCTCCTTCTTTACTGCTGCCACTCTCCTGACTGGAGCCCAGGTTCCGGCTGGAAAATGCTGATGGCTGTGGAAATCAGAAGAGTTAGATTGTAGTTGGTTCCTGGACCTGTACATCACGGAGGGAGTCTGGTTCCTGAAGCAGGGCTCCTTCTATGGGTCAGGAAAGTGAGGCTGCAGCAGCAGGAACAGCCAGTCGGTAGAGACAATGCTCACAGAAGGGACTTTCTTCTCAAAGCATGGACATGATCAGGCTTAAGAGCCAGCCAGTGAGGGCTCAATCCTGACTTGCATTTCCCAGCTGTGTAACACTGGACATTGACTCAACGTCTCTGGAATGCCTGCCCTGTAAAGGGGAAGAAACCCACTTGATCTGGTTTCTGCAGTAACCAAATACAATATAGATATGTCAGACAAGATCAGGTTTAGCACCTACCCTGGCTCTGACAGTGAGTAAGAAGCAGGGACTGATGGATGCAGAGGAGCAGCTGGGCCCCATATAGGCTTGGAGTGCCTCTCTCCTCGACGTCATGCCCAACTTTGCCCAGTCCTGCCTGGGTGTTGCTGTCTTCATTTAATTAATTAATTTATTTACTTCTAATTTAGGAACAACCATAGGTTCACACAAATGTGCACCACAGATTGTTCCCATGTACTCCTTAGCCAATTGCCCTTACCACTACTGTCTGGAATAATCACTATGCTATTGTTATAACTAAATCAGCAGGAGCATGGCGTTATTCAAAAGACCAGGGATGCCACGCGAAGATCCCAGTTTTCCCACCAAGACCCTTTGTCTTCATGAGGAGTTCATCCCAGGAAGCCACACTGCCCTGAGTCACACCCTGTCCTTGGTTTCCTCTGATCTGCCTGCCCTTTCTTTGAAGGACACTGGCAGCTGTTTCAGAGGAAGTCCCTTGGTCTGGGCTGCTCTTTGTTCATGACTGGCCTTGGGGTGTGGGTTTTGCAGGGGAACTGCTCTCCTCATTGCACCCCAAAGGGGATACAGGGCACCAACATGCCTTGATCACTTGTGGGTGCTATTTTAGAACATGGGGTTCCTTGTAACAGTTCTCCAGCCCACCTGCTACCAACGATTGGAAAATCACTAGGGTTCCACAAGAATGCCTGCCCCTTCCCCCAAGCCTTCCCCCAAGCCTTAGAGAGGGGTGACTTGAACTCAATGAGCAGAATGAGTTTATTTTAAGCTGTGAACTGAATACCAGGTTTGTTTGCACTGTGCTCCCATTTTCTGTGGATCATCCCACCAAATCAGTGAGTAGCAGGCAGTGCACCCCCAGCCCTGGTGGGCCATGGGGCTCTGTTTAATTGACAGTCCATGGCTTGAAGATGGAGCAAATCATCAACAGAAAAAGCGGGGTTACTAAAAACAGAGCAACAAGCTATGTAAAACTAAAAAAGTCTTTTCTGAACCCTTATTCCTCAAGCATCACTACAGATTATCCCTTGTGCCTCTAAGTCAAGTTGACATTAACCACAAGGCTGGCGACAGCTGGCACCCCACACCTTCCTGACAACATGCAGACACTTAAAAAAAAAGCATGGAAAATGGGCACTATGAAAAAAATGGATATGAATTTCAAAATTCCCATGTACTCCCAGCAGTTGATGTTTCCAATCTATTTCAGTAGCTTCTCGTGTGTTGGGAGGAGCTCACACCTCAGGTCTCCAAAGAGCCACCTCGGGGAGCATAAACTGACTCACTCCTGCTGAGCCCCTTTTCAGAAGCAGGCGTTCTCCTCTGACTTTGCAATCTCCCTCTTCCACCGAAAGGGGGCACTCGTGTGCTCTGTGACATTTTTTTGCCTTAAAAGCAAGAACAGAAAACACTGACGACTCCAAACAGCGCCTGGGAGGAAAGTGGCCCTACTGGGGCCTCTTGACTGCTTGCTGTTAACAGTGATGATCTGGGGATTAACACATGTAGCACATAGCATGCTGTGAAAGACATCTTGCTCTTTAAAAACCCTGCATTTCCACAGGCTTCCAGTTTACCATGCATTGTCTTTTATAGACAGCATCCACACCCTGGGAGTTATCCTCCTCTAGGCTACAGAGCTAACAAGTCCCAAGGCGTGGCAAGGCGAGGCCTGGAACCCTGCCTGACTTGGACCTAGTGCTTCTGGGAGAGGAAATACAGACAGACTTTGGCTGCAGCTGTGGTCGGTAAGCCTGTGGCTACCTGTTGCCAGGGAGTGGTCTTTGCTCAAAGGAACCCTGGGTCCACTGACCTCCTCCAGGTTGTTGAAGCCTTTCCGCCTGCGTTTGTTCATGTCGTTCTCTTCGGATTGGCCATCCACCTGCAACAGCCAAAAAGCACAGTGAGTTCATTGGCACAGACAGCTGGCTTGGATCTGGCACAGAGGCTCGATCCCTGCCTAGATACAGAGCCAGCCTGCAGGCAGACATGGCCATCGGTGACCCTGCACCGTGACAAGCAACTGTCACAGGCTTTGGCTCGGGCACAGTGTTGGAGAAAGCCTTACCCCACACAGGGGGCCAGGGATTGGGGGAGAGTGGCTGGCAACTACATCCCCAAAAGATCATAACAAAATAGCCCATTCTGAGGACTCAAGGAAGTGAGCAGTCCAGGGACTTGGTGACAAATTAAATTGGCATTTTAGGTACCATCACAGCTATAGGCAAGTGATATTTTATTAACTCCAAATAACCATGAGAGATAACCTGATGCCTATAGAAGCTACACAGCCTTGTTCGCCCAGGCCAAACTGATTTACTGCCTCCCTCCCCCAACTCTGCATAATTATTAACAGTGTCCCCTTTTTACCCTCCAAAGTAGCCCAGCTTGCACAACCCATTAAATGGGTTGTTGTCTTACTGATAACCCCTCCAGGCCCATGCTCTGCTGCCTTGATCTGGACATTCCAATCTGGAAAACCCTGCCTGACCCAAACACATTGCATCAGCCCTGCAAGGACTACCAAAGGACTCTGTCACCATCATGCCTGTGTCTATAGGGTGGCAGGGGCTCAGGCAGGGGCTGGGTTTAGTGTCTCCTTATGCCATGCTGGGTAAGCTGCCCCATTTTGGGCTCTGCCATCCCCTTTTGGGGCAGTCAGTTCCCCACTGTGAGACCCTCTCCCAGTGTCTGGCTCCCTCCCAGCCATTGAGCCATCCCCCACATATCCTCCTACCACACACATTCATGCCCCTTCTGCAGGGTGCCTCACACACTGTGAGAGCCCCTCCCAGGAAGAACCACATTACATGGTAGCCTTTGTACCATTGTGGCTGCAGTAAGAAGGGCTGCAGGCCACCTGCTCATCTCAAACCCAGGCATGCAGCTCCACCACCCCCTCAACACTCCAGTCCCAAGAGTCTTTTATTTTCTGATTGTTCTGAAGTGGTAGCTATGGGAGCCCTGGCATTTGGTCCACCATGGGCTGCAGGCCTCCAACGAAAAATACCTACTTCCCCTAGCACTTGCACCTCTCACCTTGCCCTGCCTGCCCCTGCCGGTGTAATAGCACCTTGTTTTTTTTTTTTTTTTTTTTTTTTTTCTGTAACAGACAAGATCAACCACAGTTGTCACTGATACTGTTTCTGAAACTGGCAGTGCAGCACAACAGATCCAAGGGCCCAGTCTTGTTTCTGACATTTTTTCCTCCACTCCTAAGAAACCACTGTTCTGTGAATGGAAATGGTTTCAACCCAAGCATTTGGGCACACACCAAGAGAAACAGATGACCTCGTTTGCAGCTTAACAGGGAGGTTCTGGAGGCACAGACTGTCTGGGTCCCTATTCCACTGCCAGTGCAGGCTGCTCTGGCCCTGAGACCCGAGCCTGGGAAAGTACAAACTGTTCCACCCAACAAGGACTCTTCATGTGCAATCTGAGGATTTTCCTTGTGCATGTGTTTCCACCTTAAACAAGGACTTGGTCTTTTCTCCAAAGAATAACACAGCTCTCTCAGAGAGGTCCTCAAATGCTCAGGGACCACTGTCTGAGAATGGAAGGATAAGAATGGCTGAGTTAGATCCAGGACCACATGTCACATCCTCGGGGGCTTGTGCACAGCCAGCAGGCTTGGGGACACCAAGGCTTAAGGGGGAATCGAGGAAGTGTAAAGGGGTGGTTTTGGCTCCTCAGAGCCATCCCAAACCCTATGCAATAACAATGCAGACTCTAGAGACAACTGAGCAACACACAGATCCTAATGATTTCCTCTTTCTCTGGCGGGTTTAAGACTCAAGCATCAATCCTTAGCTAAGATCTAGGTAAACACAAGACACTTAAGTAACTGCAAACCCAGAGACCAATCTTTTTCTTATCTGCTTTGTCTATGTTTGTCCATCCCCACCCATTTTACTGTACAAGGAGGAAGAAAACAGCTATCATAGCTAGTCATCAGCAAATAACTTTTCTTTTCCTGTTAATTTTCCCAACTCCTTAGATAGCACATTATCCTAGCACAATTTCCCAATGATTCCAAAGACTATAAACCACAAAGTATTTCTTAAACCAACGGGTTTCCTCATTAAAAAACAAAAATCAGCAGCATCCCTCCTATTTATTTCATCAACACAAGAGAATCATGCTCCTGCACTTCCTGAGTTAATATGATCTTTGCTCAGAGTAGATCAACTTTGGCTATCTGGCATAGTCCAACCCTGGAGGAACTGAGGTATGGTTGAAGTAAGAGAGAGATTGGCATTGTGTGCTATGGCCTGGTTCATTCAGGCAGCAGCTATGATATTTGGAAAGACGGTCACCCCCAAAAGCAAGCCAGCACATTCATTCTTCAAGGGCCCATGGCTCAAATATTAGCTGTGTGATCTCAGAGAAGTTCCCCCTAGCTACCCTAAGTTCAATTTCCTTACCTGTAAATAGAATCTGATACTTGTTTAGCTCATATCTGTTGTGATGATGAATCAGCGTAGGTGTAAAACACATCTTGAATTACAGAGTGCCACAGATCCTGACACTATCTGTTGGGTTAATGCTAGGGACAAAATTCTACACGTCTGCATTTTAGTTCTGGTGCTGACATCTGTCACCTAAGTGACTTAGAAGATTTAATCCCTCCAAGTCCAGGTGTCCTCAGCTGTAACTGAGGACCATACTCCCAATCTCCCTCCAAAGGCAACATAAAGTGCAAATGAGATGTGCAAGGGGATTGCAAGAATTCATGGGAAAAAAACGAATGCAAAGTTTGCTAAAATGCAAAAATTTTTTGAGATCTACATGGTTTTCTCAGCATACCCATTCTCTATGAGGATCCCTCCTACAGAAGAGAGCTTTCTATATTGGAAAGTGCTGGATTGACCACAGCTACACTGCAGAGCCAAGTGTTTAAATAACTTCATGCATCTTCCCAGAAGACAAGCATCTCCATTTACTTAGCATCCGCAAAGGGAAATAGCCACCATTCACTGAGACCATTCTAGAGGCCAGGCCTGACACTCAGAGCTGTGTGGCAGCTGCTCAGGACTCCACAGCAGAGCTGGAGCACAGGCTCTCACCCTTGTTCTGCAGAGAGGCTAGGGAGCCTGTGGGAAGCTGGGATATTTGTCAACTCCATAGAGGTCTGAGGAGGTCTTTGCCCACTGGGCTTCAACATGTACTCCTTCCAGGAGGAAAGGAGAGCTGGCAGGGGGCTGATCTGGGGCCTGAGCTTGCCCAGTCTTGGAAGCCAGTGCCCCAAACTGTCTCATCTCTGAGGTGAGAAGTAACAGACAGGTTTGACAGGGGAGTGAGCAACTTCTGATGCCACTGCAAGGTAAGCTCCTAGGGTGGCTTCCTTGGTTGGTTCACCTGCTCTGCCCTCAGTATCTGGAACTCAGGGTGAAACAGGTGCTCAGGGTGAAACAGTTGGTGAATGAATGGATGGTGGAGAAGGTAGGGGCTCACCTGGCCCTCCCTGGCTCTGTGGAAAGTGTTTGGGCAGAAGGGAAGGGTTGGGGAGAGGGCCTGGCCCACTCCAGACCAGACATGGCCATGAACGTGTCATACCTATGAATTCCACTCTATCAGGGATGAGGGCTGGAGGAGGAGGAAGACCAGGCTGGGCACGATGAATCCAGGGCAGCCACCTGGCTTCTGGAATGGGTTGACAGGGGAGAGCTTCTGTGTTATCCTCTAAGGAACAGGCTCAGAGTGGGACAGAAGCCAGGTTCCCTGCAGACCCATGGAATGTAGAGTCTGTAAATACGACTCCAGCCATCACTCCTATGCAGCAGGTCTAACAGACCACAGACAGGCATGTGTCCAAGCTGGAATAACAGCAGCTTCAGAGGTAAGTTCAGTTCTACCTACCTACTTGGTGATGAGAGCCCTGTACCCTCAGGAACTGTCCCAAAGCTATGAGGCTTCTAGACCAATTGGGATCACAAGAAGATCTGTAGTGGGCCCAGAGCAATAGCCTAGTGGCTAAATCCTAGGCTTGCATGTTCCAGGATTCCGTAGGGGCACTGGTTTGTATTCTGACTGCTCCACTTTCCTTTCAGCTCCCTGCTTGTAGCCTGGGAAAACAGCAGAGGATGGGCCAAAGCCTTGGGACCCTGCACCCATGTGGGAGGACTGGGAAGAAGCTCCTTGTTCCTGGCTTCAGACTGACTGAACTCCAGCTTTTGCGGCCACTTGGGGAATAAACCAGCAGGATGGAAGCCCTTTCTCTCTGTATATCTGGTTTTCCAAGAAAAATAAATCAATCTTAAAAAAAAAAAGATTTTTAGTGCACAGACCAGGGCTTTTCAAAAAGAATGTGTAATCCCCAAGCTCATGGCCTCTGGCAAAAGGAGGGACACCCAGTCCTTAGAACTCATCAATCCAGCTGTTACACTCACCATTCAAGGGGGAGAATCACCCTCCCCCAAAAGAAACAAGGTCTTTCATGGAGAGAAGTATTTTATCTTGCTTGAAGTAGATAAATCGTGTTGGGATTTGGATTTGATTGGGAAGGTAAGATTAGGGAATGGAGAAATTAGCACCAACCATGAAAACCAGAAGGGAGATTTTTAAAGACTGGCTAATGAATTCTCTTTAGATTTAGATGCTTGTTGTAAATGAATGTGTATAGACTGGAAGGGAGGAAGTTTGAACACAGATGCATAAATATGGAAATATCTTCTGTGTGTAGGCCATGGTACAGAATTGTGCCAGAACGGTCCAATATGTCCATTTCATTCCACTTATTTGAAAAATAGAGAAATGAAAAAACAGTGGCAGGGAGAAGGTGGGAGGGAGGGAGGAAGGGAGAGAGAGATTGCCCATAGATTGATTTACTCTCTAAATGCCTCTAACAGCTAGCTTTGGGCCTAGCCAAAGCCAAAGCCATGAGCCTGGTCCTCCACCCCACATGGGGAGCAGAGACCCAAGTACTGCAGCCATCTCCTCCCTCCCTTCTAGAGTAAACTCTGGCATTCTTGGGGTGTGCATCATCAGGAAGCTGTAATGGAAATCACAGTCCAGTCACTCCTATCTGGGACGTGGGCATCCCTGGGGCAGCTGATCTACCAGATGCCTGCCCCTGTATCTCCATTCTGAGATGCATGAGCTAGCGCATGGAGGGTTGCGAGTTTAATTGTACCAACATCTTCTTGGTGTACCTGGGTTACATTCTCCATGTTTAGTCATGGATGCATGTGTGGATTTCAAACTCTGTCCACATGGAGTGGCATTCCTTGTTTGAATGAAATGCAGAAGCCTTGCCAGGAAGTTCTCAAATCCAAACGTATCCAGTCCATAGGAGTTGACACCTGGGGACTGGGGAGAAGCTCTGTGCCACACAGTCCTGACCGCCATGCTGGCATTGAGGGGTGCTCAATATGCAGGGAGTTAAGACAATGACCTTGGTGGCACAAGCTGGTGACCTTTTAAGCCTCCAGCCTCCCAGAGGGTGTACCAGATCTGACGAGAGAGAGAAAGAGAAAGAAAGAAAGAAAGAGAGAGAGAGAGAGAGAGAGAGAGAGAGAGAGCCCCTAGGAGGCATTACATTAGGCTGAAGCAGGGGTCTTTGGGACTGACCCTCTAAAGTAGGGCAGCCAAGGGACACCCTGCAGGACACTGGCCAGCTTCAAAGGGGGTCACTGCTGGGTCAGTCAGTGCCCCAGCTCCCCGAACATTTCCCAGTAGAGCCAGAGGGCAGTGAAGCTGCCTGGCTGGCCTTGACCAGTTCTGTCTTGTGACTGGCCCATTCCCCCAGCCAATGCTGGCCAGGCTGCTCTCACTGGGTAATTCTGTCAACAGAGGTGTGGTGAGTGAATGCCTCGAGAGCCTTCCTCTCCGGTTCTGTGTGTGGGTTAACAGCCGGGGATGGGTGGGTGGGGAACGAGGGTGAATCAGTAAACATATTCAGTGTGAGGCTCAGAGCTTCTAGGAAGAGTGCACTGGCTGACTGGGGATACCACCATCCCAGGCGCAGCTCCTGGGGGCTTGAGAGGGAGATGGAAAAGCTGGGGTGAAACAAGACAAGACAGGCTTCACAAGACGGCACAATGGGCCAGGAAGTCCCTAGCTCAGAACAGCTGAGTGAAAACCAGAGACTGCCATGGTCATCATTCCAGCAGCTTAGCTGAGAAGCCTACCCTTGCTTCTCTAGCCCTGGTGGGAAGGCCGGGCTATTCCCTTCCTACAATCAGAGAGGAGACGAAGCAGCCGGCACCGGAGACAGGGAAACAGTGGCCACCACATTCCAGGGAGCAGGCAGGGGAGGCCTTGATGGAAAAAGTGACTACTGCTTCCTGCCGTCCAGGGAGTGACAGGAGGCCAGGCGGCTCCACCCTATGCTGGGTGGCCGGCTGGGCTGGCTGGCTGGAAGAGGCAGTACTGGCCAGAGGTGACAAGACTGCTATGGTCCAGACAGAGTGAGAGACATGCAGAGGCCTGTAGGGTCTGCAGGGGGATGGGTGGGAGGGGAAGGGTGGCCCTTACTTACAAGTGCCCTGACCCAGAACTCATGCTCCCAGGATCCATCCGCTGTTCCTCTGTCTTCCACAACCACTGACTGGCCCAGAAATTCCCATTCCACTCCTGGCCCTGACACTTCTAAACTCCCCAGCCCATCTTACCCCTGCCCCTCTGTCCTGTGTCCTGGCTCCCTGGGTTTTCCTCTTTCTCCCAGCCTTCCTGGCTGTAATTCCTCTTTTTTTCCTTTTTCTTATAAATGGGCTGCTCTGCCTCTGCTAGCCCCTTCCATGTCCTTCCCCAAAGCTGTGACCTTTGCCCTAGCCCTCTCCCTATCTTCCCAGGGTTTTATCCTACCAGCTAGACTCACATCACTTCTGCCTCTGCCTGTAACACCAACATCCCTTACAAGTGACACTTTGAGTCTTGGCTGTTCCATTTTCTATCCAGCTCCCTACTAATGCAGCTGGGAAAGCAGCAGATGGCCTGAGATCCCTCTACCACTCACATGGGAGACCTGGTTGGAGCTCCAGGCTCCTGGCTGTAGCCTGTCTCAGCCCCAGCCATTGTGACCATTTAAGGAATGAATAAGCAGACAGAAGATTTCAGTTGCTCCCTCTCTTTTGTAACTCTACCTTTCAAATGAATAAATACATCTTTTTAAAATATGAGCACATGAGAAAGCTTATTTCACACTTTCTGTTGAGAACTTATCATCCAAATAAAATTCTAACTCTTTACTAGCCCTCCAACTTCCAAAGTGTGTACCAAAACACCTTGTGACACCACAGTGACTTCACAAAGGACTTGCAGCACATGGAGAATTCTCCTGTTATTTAGACTGAAATAGATGACAAACAGAACTGTCAGGCATTTCTTTTGATCTAGGGGCACCATGAAAAAATTATTCACTGCCAATTGGGGAAGAGAAAGTTTGGAAACCCATTTACTGGACTCTGAGCTCTCCAAAGGCAAGGTCCACTCGTTACTCATTTCTGCATCTTGCTTTCCTTATCAACAGCAAACAAGAACTATAGCTCCAAAGCTGAAACGCACACATATGCTGGACAAAATGAAAAACACAGAAGAATGAAACATACATGCAACTGTAACTTCAACACCACACACTTTGGCCATGGGACACCTGGATTAACTGGCTCCATAGTGACAGGAGTCACTCCCCAGCCTCCCACTGGCACCTGCTTGTCTGTTCTGTGTCCTCTCCCCTGGCCTTCCTATCCTGGCTGCCATGCACTGAAAAGAATGTCCAGGAAACCTGGGTACTAAACCCAGCTTGACATGCACCTTCCTGGGGCTGCTATCACAGCACATAGACAGGGTGGGGCAGTCTTGTGCCCCTTGACCCTACCCATGTGGGCCTCCCGAGAAGCAAGAACAGAGGGCAGAGATGACTCACTCGTGGCGTTCTCTTCCTCGGAAGCGTGAGGTTGAGATAGTTGTTAGGAATGGAGGTCTTGGCCAGACCGAGGTCAGCATTTTCTCCGTAGTTTTTGCGCCAAGAATCTGTTGGGGAAAAGAGGCACAGCTAAGTCATGGATCTGGGGGCCCTGGTGACAGTGGCATAATCACTGTGACAGAGTCCCTGTGAAATTGTTCCTTTACCCCAGACTGGAAGATGTCCCTGGCCTACGCAGGTCAGTGGAAGATTCTGCCCTCCCATGGATGGAGCAGGGAGTCCCCTATGAGCTCACTAGACAGACAGACACACACACACACACACACACACACACACACACACACACACACACACACACACACACACACACTCCCATACCTCCTTATCTTCAAAGGCCAGGCTCGGGTCTGCCCCAGAACAGATACAAACCCTAAGAACCATGATGGCTTATGAGGCTGAGCTCAACTCCCAGGCAGATGCTTACCCATGGGCCTCAGTGGGGTGCCCCGGAAGAGCTCGTAAAACTTGGAGAGGTACATGACCATGCTGAGCTTGTCGGGCACCTGGGCCAACGCCATCTCCTTGCCCGTGGTCACGGGAGGGATCCCAAACTCGCGTTCAGCCACGTCAAATGCCAGCTGGTTGTTCTCCACGGCATCGTCTTCATTGAGTGAGTCAAAGTTGCTGCAGGATTAAAGCAAAGAGGGGGCTCAGGGAGAGGGGGAGTAGGGTGGAGCTCAGGAAGAACCCATGAGGAGCAGTGCAGGCTTGCAAGCTGCTGGGTGCCCCTGACCTGGTTCCAGCTCCTAACCCTGTCTTGGGAGAAGTAAAATGCATTCTTGCTCAGGGAGGATACACGTCAGACGTGGGCTAGGACACCAACATTGTCTTTGCTGCCTTGGCCCAAGACCCCCAAATATCACATAAACCTCTCTGGAAAACACACAAGTTGTTTTGCATCTCATTGTTTCCCTTGTGCAACTCTCTCTATGATTTACAAAAGGAATATGGGATTCTTCTAAGAAAATCAAAGTACAACCACACATGGCAGAAAGGGAGAGAGTCCCACCCCTTCTCACAGCACCCTCATTTCTTAGAGGGACCAGCTGGCAATCCCAGTGGACATCCTTTCAGCCCTGTTGGATGGATTTGCATGTGGACGTGAGACTATCAAATCTGGTCTTTCCAGGGACCCTGCCAACCATTCCTGGATGATGGATGAAGAATCTGACGCTCATATGGTCTAGGTGGCAATCCAATCACATATAGCTAATGGGTCTGGGTCTCATTTTGTTGAGTTCCTCAATTCATCAAGGAAAGTAGAGTTAGAGAGAGAGAAAGAGAGAGAGTGAGCTTTCATTTGCTGATTTGCTCCTCAGAAGGCTGCAAAAGCTGGGATAGGTCAGGCTTAAGCAGAAGTTAAGAGATTCGTCCAGATCTTCTGTGAGGGAGATAGGGTCCCAAGTACCTAGGTCATCTTCCACTGCTTTCCCAGGTGCATTATCAGGGAGCTGGATCAGAAGCAGAGCAGCCAGGACTCAAACTTGTTCCCACACGGGATGCCAGTATCACAAATTAGGGCTTAACCTACTGTATCACAATGCTGGCTCCTCAAACCCAATTCTTTTGACTAAAACCCTTCACAGTGGTGTTCAGAATCAGGTCTTGCCCCAACTCGTTTCCTGAGAGTAAAGCTCTGAGGTACAAATGCCCAAGTTTCCACAGTGTGGCAGCTGGGGCATGGTGGCAGATTGCTGAGCCTGAGTCCCTTTTTGAACTCCCATGTAAAGAACACAGATTGGGGGTAGGGCTGCAGTATAGCAGGTAAAGTTACCATCTGTGATGTTGGCATCACAAATGGGCATAAGTTTAGGTGCCAGCTACTTAACTTTCAATCCTGCTCATAGCCTGGGGAAAAACAGCCAAGGTTGGCTCAACTCTTTGGGCACCTGCACCATGTGAAAGACTTAGATGAAGCTTCTGGCTTCTGATTGGCCATTGTGGCCATCTGAGGAGTGAACCAGCTGATGAACCATCTCTCCCTCTCCATCTCTCCCTCTCTTTGTGTAACTGTGCTATTCAAAATAAATAAAAATAACTAAATAAAGAACACCCATCAAACCTGAAACAAACAGGACAACCATTTCCAAGGCAAATGGGCACAATTAAGAAGATACCAGATTGAAACAACACAGAGGAAAGTACTGAAGCAAGTAACGAAGGCTCTGCACCCAGCAGAATGGCCTCAGTTCCCGTGCTGCTAGTGTCCAGCCTGAACCCCAGACTTACATCAGCTCTGGCCGGAAGCGGTGGATGATGGCACAGAGCGCCAGGCCACTGCGCCAGGATGTGGTTAGGTCAGTGACGTTGACATGCTGATAGCCCTCCGTCTGCTGTTGGCACCACGTTAGGAGCTTGCTGGGCCGGATGTCGGACTCTGCAGGGAGGAAGGAAGGAAGCATAGGCAGGGAAGCCCTGGCGAACTCTCAGGGGGTTGTGGGCATCCTCACCCATTCTACCAGGGCTAGAGACCAGGAGGAGCTGCACCCGGGCCAGGGGCAAGGGACGGATGCTGCAACAGGAAACACAGTCCTCCCATTGAATCTCTAAGATCCACCATGAATCCAACCACCTCCCAGGGTCAAGGCTAGGAACATAGCCTTGCCCACAGAGTGCTCACCCACAAGGAAAGGGAGAAGATGGTAAGGATGAGGGATCGCTATGCAGGGAAGAATAGGGTGCATGGAAGCAGGCGTGCCCCCAGTTTACAAAGGCAGCATGGCAGGGCAGCCTTTTGCAGCTGATTCCTGAAGAATGTCTATAAATTCATCTGACAGAAGGTGGCCTTCCAGGAAGGTTTAAATAACTGTGCAGGGGCCAAGACTCTGGGGAACCTACCCTATGTGTAAATAAGAGTAGGGTTCGTTACAGTGCATGGAGAATGACAACAGTTGGGCACAAGGTGGTTGTGGGAGGAGAAGAAGAGGCAAGGTCTAGAAAAAAGTAAAGAGGGCCAGAGGCATGGGTGAGGCCTGGTTGGTGCAGCTGGATGCTGGGGGAGCTGTGTTCTGAACCACTCCTTCCCCAGCCATGAGCAGTGGTCCTGTGTCTGGTGCTGTGTGAGGCCCTGGAAGGTTGGGAAAATACAAAAGCCCTTGGAGCTCCTCACCTAGTTTCGGAGACAACAGTGCCCCATGCTGAAAACAAGAGCATCAAAAGCAAGTTCCGAGGATGGAACCACAAGTTGTGATGGGTGTGCTAAGTGCCCGATGTATACCAGCTCCTTTACTCCTTGCAGTGAGCATGCATGCAGGTGAAGTTCTCCTCCTTAGGTGAGTGGGGCAAGTGGAAGTTCAAAGAGGAGAGGTATCTGTTCTGCCGGTGACAGAGGATAGAGCCAGGCTGTCTTGCAGAACTTGAGTCACATGGCCACTGAACACAGCTGGCCAGGCTCCCAGCAGGGTCACTCACCTCGCCTGGAGAGGCCAACTGTTCTCCGCATGGAGCTCAGTCTCTCAAGAGGGTGGTGGTCCAGCTCCTTTGTGATGTACAGGTGCTTTACCTGTGGACAAGGAAGAGCGTCCCATCTGCCTCCTGGCTTTCTTCTCCCAAATCCTAACCCCAGGGCCCTTGCATGGTGGGCCAGCATGACCCTCGGCAAGGGAACCTGTGTGACTCAAGTCCTAGAGGAATGAACCTTGATGGTCAGCGCCAGTGTGTGGGGTCTGAGGGTGAGTATATGCAAGTAGTGACTTTCACAAATTCACACCAGTTCTCTTGTGCTTTTCAGGGTTGGGTGGCTTTGATTTTGTACCTTGTCAAAGAGTAGAGCATGATCAGCAATGCCAGTGCATGGCAACAAATTAATATATGTAAATACATGCACATAGGAATATGCATGTGAGTTGGTGTACATATTTATATGCATGTGTATTTGTGCATGTTTGTCTATGGATTATCTTAAAGTGTTCTGACCCTCTCCTATAGCCTACAAAGAATACTAGAAAACTCACCCCATGTGTTTTCAAGGTTTCCCCTGAGGGCCCTCACAGAAGGCTGCACTTGGCAGCCTGGGAAATGTGCCAGTGTCTCACCTGGGCCTTCCCTACCCTCAGCTCAGTGTGGACTATTCCAGAGGCAGACTCACCTGATGGGGCCTGACACAATTTGAGTTGAGGTTTGGGTAGCGCGTCCCTGGGTCCAGTGTGTATTGCTCAAAGTTCTTGTTGATGTTCTCTGGGGTGGTTTGAGGTAACAGCCGGTACAGACTTTCCCTGCAAGAAAGCCAGGCCCTGAGGTCAGGAACAGCTCCTGCCACGATGGGCCTTTGTCCCAACCCTTCTCTTCCTCCACAATTCACTCTTCCATGAGCTCCCTGGTTCAAGGGCTTCTTGGGTGTGTTGGTACAACCCTGCCCTGAAATGCCTGGCTCTTGTGGTTCTTGAGATTCTGCAAAGTGAAGGGAGGGACACAGAGGCCCGAGTGGCAGGAACACTGGCCTCTTCCCTAGGATGCAGGGCTGGCAGCACAATGACCTGACGTTTGGCCCTAACCACTACACAGCCACACTGCCTCCTGTGGCCTGGCCTCCATTACCGTTGAGGGGCCATCTGTAACTGCCAGCCTTGGCTTCTGCCAGTCTGGCAGCTGTCATCATGGCCACATGGCTGGTTGCAGAGGTCTGGGAGGAAAGGTCAGAATCTCAGCAGGCCAGTTAGGGCAGGACACCTGGCACTGCCCTGGAGGACTCCTCTACAAACACCTATCTGGCTCTCGGGAGAAGGAGTGACATTGGGAGGCCTGATTTCACGGCCATCCCAGGTGAAGGCTTCTCTTTGGCTTTCAGATTCTGATAAGCAGAGGAGGTTCCTGAAGGAGATTAGGATGGAGAAAGTGTCCTTGGGGTCCCCACAGGTGGGGAAGGCAGGTGAGTCAATGATGACATTGCTGGGTGCAGCTGGCCTTACCTCTCTCCTGCCCTGCCACTGCTATGTCAATGCTCACCTTTCAGCCAGCAGCTCCAGAGGTGGGGTTCCCTGGTCCCAGTTCTTCACCATCCATGCCGTGTCAAAGGCTGCCAGGAAGCCACGGGCACAACCTGTACCCATAGGCCAAAATGGCTACAAGGAAAAACGTGGAAAAATCCTATTTGATTCTATTTGATTCTAAGGACTCCAAGTCCCCTATCCCATTATGCCCAGCGCTCTGACTTCTAGCCCCTTGCAAGGCACAGCAGTTGAGAGAGGTTGACAGAGGATAGGATCCTTGCTGTCCACAGTCACATATAGCGAAAGCATGAGGTCAGATGCAAAGGGCTATGACAAGAGCACAGCAAGACTGCTTGAGCACTCACAAAAGGTAGAGCCAATTCCTGCTCTGTGGGAGGAAGTTGAAAACAAGGGAATGCTTCATCCAAGAGCTGCATCTATTTCAAATTTTATTTTTATTAACTCATTTTTACCTAAATCGTTAACTAATGAGGGACAGAGAGGCAGAGAGAGAATTTCCCATTTGTTGGTTCACCTCTCAAATGCATACAGCAGCTTGGGTTGAAGGCAGGACCTGGGAACTCAATCTGGGTCTTCACGTGGTGGCAGGGATCCAACTTCTTGACCTGATCACTTGCGACCTCCAAGGGTCTACATTAGCAGGAAGCTGGAGCCAGGAGCTGAGCCTGGGTGCCCTGATATGGAATGCAGGCATCTGAACTGTGTCATAACTGCCAGGCTAGCCACCTGCTCTACTGCTGACAATAAACAACAGAGGGGCCTCTGTTCTTGATCCATTAAGGAACTGTGTGGGTAAAGGCTTGGTGGCTGTAACCTGCCAGAGCCTGATGGCAGACACAGGAAGAGCACAGGCAGAGCCAAAGCAGGGAGGAAGCCTGGGACAGAAGCAGGTGGATGCTGGCTGCTCACCTAAGCGTCCTAGTGAGAATGCACACATTGTAGTGAACAGATAGCCTGCCCAACACAGCTGTATGCCAATCACACTGTCCCATGAGCACCCAAATCATGAACTTGGGGTAAATATACAGACTTTTTATTTTTTAGGAAAATGCTTCCAGTAAAGATAAGAACTTATCCTTCCAGAAAACATTCATGTCATCTAAGGCTCCTTGTGCTTGCAGATTTTCAAGCAATAATCTGGAGCAGGGAGACCATGCATAGAAAATGAACCTTGGGGACCTGCAAGATGACTGCTGTCTGTTCACATCTTTGTACTGAATGGCCTCCAGCTAAGGACTCCCTGCTCAGAGGACAGCACGGGTTGGCACATACCAGAGCTGTGTTGTGCTGGACTGCCTGCCACAAAGGGAACAGCCCAGGACTTGGAGGCTGAAGAGAAAGCTCTCGCCTCTGCACGCAGGCAGGTAGTCTCCTCTAGAGACAGTGAAAGCACCAGGATGGGCCTGGCAGAATTGTGCCAGGTGCCTGAGAACCCTTCCTCCTCCATGCACCCCCAGGCTGCGTGACAGCAGATGTTGCCAGCCAGAGCCCCAGTGCAGGGAGCTCTGTCTCACAGCAGAAATGAGGCCTCCAAACACGCAGCAGATACCTCAAGCAAGCTGTCGCCCACCAGGGCCACGAGCAGATGGTGGGCCTGGCGCTCGCGCACCAGGGCTGCATTCTCCGAGGCGTACATGGAGGTGAAATCGAACATGGCCACATCAGGCTGCCCATAGTGGTTCATGGCGAAGTCCAAAGAGGGCAGCTGGTAATTGGTGGCGAAGTCTGCGGCTTCCCGGGCATAGGACAGCAGGTTGTCCTGGTTCACATTCTCTGCACACAGCAGCATCTCTGTGTCGGTGTAGTCCTGGGGAGACCGAAACAGCAGTGCAGCAGCTTGTCCCTTTAAGGGGCTAGACTTCATACACCCTTCCTGGCAAAAGCGCTTGGAATGGGTCTGCACAGTGTGGACTAATCAACAGACATAGGAAACCAGGGCCAAAGGGATTACAGAGGAAAAGCATGAGCCAACGACTAGGGTTAACACTGTTGTGATTAAACATCAACTTTGGCGTTGAGCTGCCGGGCGTCTGAGGCGACAGGGAAGTGTGATAAGTTATGGGGCTTTCCTTATCAGAAAGTAGGAAGCTGAACAACTCCTCAGGGGAGGTCATTTTTTCCTGGCACTGACTCCTAAATGAGTGATCTCACGTAGGAATTCCAACAGTGAGTGCTGAGAGAGGTAATGAGCCATGCACTTGATAATGGTCCTGCAGGCGACCAGAAGCATATTTCCCATGGCTGGGTCTCATGATAACACAACGCAAAGGCAAAGATGCAAGTCAGTCGGTGCGATTTTAAAAGGGACTCAAACAAGCTAATGTGGTCCAGATGTGTAGTGCGCAGCACACAAACAGGATCAGGAAAAATCACAATGCTTGCTGTAACTCCCATGCTTTCTCCCAGGCTGTCAGCAGGCTGGGAGCTGCTCAGGACCGGTTTTGGTCTTAGCCTGTGCTGCTCACTTTCCTGCTGAGGGGTGAAGAACCCTGAGCATGGACAGCCAAAAAAAATCAGCCTTGCCATGAACCACAGGATGCCAGGCAGTGAGGAACACTGGAGTTCAGTCTGACACAGTGTGGCTAAAGTACCTCAAAGGCCACCTGCCTTCAGAATCGCACAAGAACAAGGGACAATGTGAACAATGAACATGGACTTTGGATTTGATGAGAGCAACATGTCCAATTCTACCCCTGCAGGTGACCAGTAACAAATACTTCACTTCTTTAAGTCTGTGTTTCCATCTGTATAGTGGGAACAATACAATCTTTGGCACTGAGCCACATGAGGACTGAGTGAGGCTGTGTCCATATACAAGACACCCAGCTCATGCCTGGGACACAGAAGTGCTGCATGAACAGAGCCCTTGTATCCACAACCCACGGAGGCCTTTGGTGTGGCCATGGGGGAGTGCAACGTGCACCCAGGAAGTGCCAGCAAGTAGCTACACAGGTCTCAGAAGTCACAGCCCTGTATACACCTGCCTGGCTCCCAGCCTCACTTCTCCATATAGCCAGAATCTCAACCACTCTACATTCAAAATGCAAACATTTCCACGTCCAAGCCACACCCTATAAACTGCACCTTCCATTGCTGCAAGAACACTTTTGGGTGCTGGCGTCAGGAGGGAATCTGTTAATTGGTTTCCTATCTGACACCTGTTTTTGTAGCCATGTGACCACTGTCCTTTGTGGATGATATGGGCTTGAGATGGGGGCAGAGTGAATGGGGAGTGACATGGGCACAGACACACACACAAGAGTCTGAGTCCCCCAGTATGGTTTGTGGCCACCACAGAAGAAAGACAAAACCTGGTACTCAAGTCCCAAGCAGGAGGGCAGGGATCCTGATGTCCAGGAGGGCCTAACTTCCAGTTGGACCTGAGTGAGGGCAGCTGGATAGAAGGACAGCCAAGAAAGGGCCACCTGTTGTCCAGTGGTCAGTTACTTAACATTTACACAGGACGTCCTGTATCTTTACAAAGATGCTGACCCATATTCCGAGAGGACTTGCAGTTCCTCTGGGGAGCAAAAGAATGTCAACTGAAGTGGCTCTGAGTGCAAGGGCCAGCAAATGCTACTGTGCCTTGTCAGACACCTGCAGCCTGAGGCCAAAGCTCCTGATCTACGTGATGTCCAGTCCTCCCATGTCCAGCCTCTTGGCTCAGGTTTCTGGATGAGAGTTCCTGTCTTGTTCCTCAAGTGTCCTTAAGCAGTGGCTTGCAGGTGCTATGGAGTCCTCAGGGAGATAAGGAAAGACCTTGGCGAGGATGACTGGAGGCCTCGGAGTTTGCTCCTGGCTTTTCACAGCTTTGATGGGGCAATTGCCATGAGAGAAACAGACATGAGTGTGGAGGGGCTCTGCCAAATGTCAGAGATGCCAAAAGCAACAGGTCACTGCCCTGTACACACACTGTGGGATGATCTCAAGGTGACCTTGGCACCCCAGGAGACTTGGCCAGTGAAACATAAAACCCAAGGCAAACTGCCTGAGCACCATCTGCCAAGCTGTCCACTGTCCCTGCATTCAAGTGGTCCAGCACTCCCTGACTCGGTCGGCTACAGAAGCAGATGATTGAGAGAGATACCTATGGTGTAGAGGGAAGATGGGGGAGGGGGAGGGAAGCCACTTGTCCCAGCTGAGCAGTCAACAGCAGTCAAGAGTCGTCGAAACCCAGCACCCTTCCACACCTGTTGTTCTGTCCAGCTAGCTCAGCCTCCCAACACCCCTGGTGCCTGGCCTCCATCCACAGGCTCTCAGCAAAGCCCCAGGCTGTTGTGGAGGAGGCCCTTGGGAGGGTTGTGTTACTGGTACTGCCCGGAAAGCTGCCAGCACAAGCCAGCAAGGAGATGGGCACATTCTTCTCTGACAAGCAGCAACAAATGCTTGCCACCTGGCCTGGGCTCCAGGCAGGCACTCGAGAGCAGGCCGAGCAGGACTATGAGATCCTTATCCTGAAGACACGGTGGTGATGGACAGTGGCAAGGACAGAGGCTCTGAAAGGACTGAAACCATGGTCAAAGACACTGCCTGTCCTGGGAACTCCTCTCTGCGGGCTTACTCCTTCCCATTGTACTCTCTGTTTGGCCATGAAGATGCAAAGCCACTCAACAGAGACCAGGAAGCCAGCAGGAGTACCAACAAGGCCAAGAAACTAGAAAGGGAGGCTACAAATCTGGCCACCCACCTGGTCTTTGTGAACACTTTAAGAAAGTCCTTTCCAGGATCCTTGCAAAGACTCTCTCTGTTTTACATATGAGAAGGCTGAGGTTCAGAAAGCATAAACAGCCTGCCCTTGACCCTGACCTACTTCGTGGCAGAACCAATGCTTCCAGTCTTTCTGACTGTACCAATGGTGAACTTTCCTCCAGATGATGACAAGAGCCCATGACATAAACAAACAGAAGCACCTCTCTGTCCCAACCAAGACAAGGAGCCCTTCTCTGCTTCAAAAGGACATGTGGCCTCCCAGGGCAAAATAAGGACTCACTAGCCCACGTCAACACCTGGCGAAAGGTCTCCCAGCCCCTGCATGTCTTTGCAAAGACACCTCTGTGTACTGGGACAGTCTCTTTCCTCAGGCCTGGTGTAACACAGAGAGAAAGGCCAGTGGTTGGGAAGTGGCCCCTGCCCCTCTCCTGCCCCTCCTCAGTTTCTGGTAGGACATACTTCCACCTGCACAGCTGTGCCAGTCTAGGTCACCAAGACAAAAACAGGTGGCAAGACCCAGCCGTGGGGTGCGTACCTCAATAATGACCCCTTTGTCGAGCAGGCTCTGCTTCTTGGCAGTCATGACAAAGTAGTGGGTGGAGTCCTTGTAGTAAACAATGTTCTCGAGATCAATCCCTGAAAAGAGAAGCATTCACACCCAAGTTTACGTCCTCAGTACCAACCGTATGCTGGGAATGAAACCGGGCCACGACTTGTGGCTCTATGGCAGTATGTTCACACGATACACATGAGACATGGTCCTAAGGTATGTGAGGTTGGAAAGGATAAAACAGAGGCCAGAAGCTACCCACAGCGAGGCAGTCAGCTTAGAGTCCCAGGCAAGCATTGTTGCTTTGAAAATGCTCAACATCTTATAGGGCTGTCGGCTGGTGCAGCTGGTTGGGTTGCAGAGAGGCCAAGTGCTAGCCATGGCCATGGAATCTAAGCAATATCAATGTCAGGATTTGCACCTACACCTGTTTGGTTCCAAGTCCCATTCTCTGTGACTCCAGGTAGCCAGAATGGCAATATTAAAGATTGTCTCCCTCATTCCTCTGCCTACCTGCAGTGGTAGGAACAAGTCAGAGTTAAGGCTATATACTTCTCATAACATCTTCCAGCTAAGGATTCTGCTTGCAGAATCATGATATGAGACCAGGGTTTAGCTCAGTGGTTATCAAAGGGTGGTCCTGGGCCAGCAGCAGTAGCATCACCTGAAAACTTAGTGGAAATGCAAACAATGCAGGACCGTTCTCACACTGACTGAATCTGGAGCTCCAGGGCTGAACCAGTCAACACCCTGTCTCATAAAAAATGCTCTACACAATTCTGATGAACACTCAAGTTTGAGAGCCACTGGCATAGCTTATTTAAAAGGAAAGAAAGGAATTGGCACATGGTGACCCAGAAGTCTTTGGCACAAGGTAGGCTGGGTAGCCATAGCAACATCTTTATTACAGTCAAATCGGAAACAGCCATCAGAACAGAGGCCTTCCCCGCCCCAACCTCTCCACAAGAGAATCAGAGGAAATTCATCACTGTCACCGGGTGAAGACATTGTTGTGAAACAATAGCCCAAAGTGACAACCACAGCAAACGCCTGGACAAAACACATTTAACATCATAATTTATATTTAATGTTTAGATATTCATTTTCTTGGCGTTTGAGGGGAAGGAAGGATTGGAGAATTTTTAAATCATTTGAAAGGGCATGACATGCTCAAAGGAAGTATTTAAATTCTTAAGAAAATAATGCAACTGTGGTGAGACTCAGAGGGTCATGCAACAGCGTAAGAGGCAGAGTCTGGCTCCTAGGAAATGATCTGAAGGAAATAATTCAACAGCAACAGTTTTATCTGCCACTAAAGTAACTAAAGGGAAGGTCTAAATCAGAGGTTGCAAGATTTCATGTGGAAAGGGCCTCATAATAAATGTTTCTGGCTCTGTGAGCCATTTGCTCTCTTGCAAGCATTCATAATGTAAATAAATGGCCATGGCTAGGTCATAGTCAATCCTTGAGATCTGAACCCCACATAATTCCTAACGCATCATAAATATTATTCTTTTTATTTCTTCTTCATCCCCCCCCAAAAGCAAATCATTTTTAGCTTGGAGGCAACACAAACACACATGACTACCCATGGTTTGCCAGTCTCTGGTTTAAATGGCTAGGCAGTGATTCCACATCCACTTGACAACGTGCTCTGCAATACCCCCAAAAAACTTTCAGATGGAGGATCTTCCTCTCTGTCTCTCCTTCTCACTGTAAATCTGCCTTTCCAATAAAAAATACAAATCTTTTTTCAAAAATGTAAATGTGGAGGGCAGTGTTATGGCATAACATGCCAAGTGGATTGAATGCCATATGGAAACCACTTCTTGCCCAGCTCCCTGTTAATGCACCTGGGAAAGCAGCAGAGGATGACCCGAGCAGTAGACCCTTGCACCTACATGAGTGATTTGGATGAAGCTCCTGGCTTCAGTCTGGCCCAGCCATGGCCATTGTGGCCATTTGGGCAGTTCATCAATGAATGAAAGATCTCCTTTCTTTAACACTTTCAAATAAATGAGCCTTCTTTTAAAAATGTAAACCTGATGCTGTGTGGGAAAAGTAGAACAATCCAGGGCAGGGGACACTACGACTTCAGTTGGAGCAATGGAAGGAGTACACAGGCAGGGGGAAAAGAAAGAATATATGATGACAAAGACTGTTCTGAGCTGAGTAGTCATATTAGGGTAACTTACTTTCTGTGCAAAGATTTTATTTGGCAATATTTCTCAGGATATATATATATATACATATATATGTGTGTGTATGTAAAAAGAAAAGTTGGAATTTACTTGGGAAGGGGCAACTCATCCTCCTCTTTCCCTTCACCCTGCCCTCATCATCCTTTAGTACTGCATATCAGGTGTTTTCTTGCTTATCGACCTCTGACCCACATAGACTAAAAGCACCAATCAAGCCTTGCTTTGCTGCCTGTTCTGTCACAGTCCCCAGGAGATACCTTGAGTGAAGGAGCCCATGCCATCTGGGCTCCAGGTTGTGACTGGTGATGAGTGATGCCAAGGACTGGGTGTTCCCAGGTGTCCCTCATGGGGAAGGAAGGGCAGCACTGCACAAAGGCCCTGAGGCCTCCTTAGGGAGCACCCACTGTCAACTTCTACCTGCCTCTGACCTCAGGCATGGTGGCAGGTACTAGCTTTACATGGGTGCCCTCACTAGGCAGGGAGCTACTGTAGGAGTGAGCATGACAATCTCAACCTCAGACCCCACACACTGAGTCCCCACATGCCCACCAAGGAAAAGCTCAGTATCTACTTTTAGAGGCAACATCCAGAGGTTCCCTCAAGACTGTTCCCTCTTGCCCCTGAAGAAACCTGCCCATTGACTGTCTAAAGGAGGGGTATCAGCCTCTGCCCCATTAGAGTCCCTTAAGTGCCCAAAGCCCTGGAAGCCAGCTTGCCACTCTACACCCTTCACTGGTTTGTGACCAATGGCCAGATGAGAGAGCGGAAGTCCCACCTGTTTCTTCTTTCAGATCCTGAAAAAACTTCTGGTTGAAGATGAAAGCCACACCACTGATCTCTTCTACCTTGGCCTCAGCTGTACTGTTTCTGTTGATGAAGTTGGCAGTAATCGCAATGGCTAGCTTCCCACGGAATTCCTTTCTTCTGAATCCTGCATAAGGAAGGAAAGAAAAGTGGGTCTTGTTTCTGTGTTTGATGTGAAAATTGACCCCCCAAAAAAGAAAGAACCCAAACCACAAACAGACAAAAACAACCTAATCCACTGAGAAGCCTACATTCAGTTGCCACCAGGCTCACAAAACCAGGGTCCCAGGTGGCTAGGGAACAGGAATAGGAAAAACACTACAGTTTAAGTCAGCAGAACTTGGTCTTTTTCACAAGGCTGTAGGTCCAAGTCCTTGACTAGGCTTATGAGAAGCAAAAGGCTAACACCAACTATAACAGCCAATCATAAAGCTGGATAAACAGGAGTTTAGCACTGTACTAGATACACCTTGGGGGCCTCACATGCACTTGCAATGTAACTGTTGAAAAGTACTTTGCCAACATTTTTTGTGGTTATTTTCCCCTTTTAAGGATAGTGAAGTCCTGCAGGACTGGGATTTTCAACAACTCTTCTTTGCTTCTTCCTTTGTTGTGGATTACCTGTGTCTCCACGTGCTGCACTCACTCTCTCTAATGTGTATGCTGAAGACCTACCCCACCCACAATACCCTGAATGTGGCTTCAATTGGAAAAAGGAGATCATACTGGAGCAGGGTGAGTCCCCAGTTCCAAATGACTGGTGTCCACCTGGGGAAATTTGAACACAAGACATCCCCAACAAGAAGCCTGCAATGTGAACAGTTGGGGAGAGAGTAGAGGATGCTTCAACAAGCCAAGGGCACCACGGATGGCCAACCAGACTCCAGAAGCCAGCAGGAGGATGTGGAACGGGCTCTTCCCTTAGCCCTCAGAAGGAAGTGATTTTTAGGGTCACTTTGACTTGGCTTTCCAGTCTCCAGAGCTGACAAATGGTAAATTTATCTTGTTCAAGTCACCTGGTTATGGCACTATGGGAGGACAGGCCCCAGGAAACTCACATACCAATTTCAGTGACTGATATTTGGGACATATCCAATCAAAGTGTGGTAAACAGACAGAATTTCAACTTGTAATTAATTCTAACTCCTCAAGCTTTCATTAAAAAACCATCTTTACAATTGACACAGGATAATTTTACATATTGATGGGCTACCAGGTAGAACTATAGTACCTGCGTGCACTGAACAAGGATCCTATCAGGGTAGCTACATATTCACCCTCTAAGTTGTAGCAAGAGTTTGGGATCCTTCTCCTGGCTATTTAAAAACACTGCATCATGGTCAACTCTGGTGTACAATGCTGTATAACAAACAGGGGAACTTTCCTTCAGGGTTCCTAAGTTTCAACGGTTCACATAAAATGTCTTTTGACATTTGAGGATGGTGCAATGGCACAATTGGCTGATCCTCCTCCTGCAAGTGCCAGGATCTCATATGGACTCCAGTTAGTGTATCAGCTGCTCCACTTCCCATCCAGCTTCCTGGTTATGGCCTGGGAAAGCAGCAGAAGATGGCCGAAGGCCTTGGATCCTTGCATCCCAGTGGGAGACCTGGAGGAGGTTCCTGGTTCCTGACTGCTGGCTTTGGACCAGTTCAGCTCTGACCATTGTAACCACTTGGGGAGTGAACCAGAAGATGGAATATCTTTTACTCTATCTTTCCTTCTCTCTATAAATCTGCCTTTCTGAAAAAAAAAAAAACAAAACTTTTTTTAAAATGACTTTTGAATGGCGATGACACAGAATGACAGCAGTGATATCATTCCATTAGCCTGCCTTCTCCTTCTCATCTCTAGTCCCTTTTCAACACTTGATTCTTTTCCTGCAGTCTTGAATTTTCTTGTAGTCCCACTTTCTCCACCTGCCCCAACCATGTTCTTTACTTTCCCCTAGGCACTTCTTGCTATGGTTGAAAGGAGGCCCCAAGTTCATGTCGCAGAAACTTAAATGTTAAGAATCTTCACAGTGGGGCCATTAGGAGGTGACTCAGTCATAACTGCTCTATCCCCAAGAATGAATTCACGCATGCATGAACAGATCAATGGGTTATTACAAGAATGGCAAAAGCAAGCTCTGGCAAGCTTGTTCCACCTTGGCACATGGTATCCTCCACCACGATATAATGCAGCAAAAGGCACTCCTCAGATGCTGGTATAATGCTGTTGCACTTTGCAGACTCAAGAACTGTGAGTTCAACCTGTCTCTATTCTAAACGCACAAGCCAGCCTCAGGGACTAATCTTGAGTACAGACTTGCCACATGTAGCCTTCTCCAGCTGCCTTCGGAAATTCCATGCACACCTGCTCAGCATGTGCTCCAATTTCATGCTTGTTTCCAGTCATCTGTGTCAAAAATCCCTTTTACTGGAAGTTTGTGTCTCTAGTCAGGAGCCTTCCTTTAGCTTTTCCTCATTAGATCTTTGTCAGAGGGTCAACAAAGGCCATTGCTCTCCCATCCAGAATTTCTCGGTAAGGGGTGTGGGGTAGCTATGTCTCACAAGGGACATTTGGTGATGTGTGGAAGCATTTCTGGTTGCCACAGTTGGGAGGTTATCTACATGTAGTAGTTAGAGGTCAGGAATGCCTCACAAGAGACACCCACAACCAGGAATGACACAGCCCTAAAGGGCAACTGGTGCCAAAGTCGAGGAGGCCTGAGACAATCTACCTGGTTGGTGCTAAGTTGCTCAGATGGTACCATCCTTCCCACCCTCCTTTTCATACTCACAGGATGCCAAATTTTACTGAAGCTGAGCACAGATGCTGGATTTTCAGCATTTTGCCCAAATATCCAAATAACCCTGAGACTGCAACCTCCAGCTTGGTGGCTTACAAATTCCTTGTCTGATATTGCTGATTGACGATGAGGAGGTAGATTCAGAAGTAAGGCCAACAGCACTGGATGCACAGCAGGTGGAAGGAGGCCTACCCTTCCTGGATTCTCCTAGGTAAGCTTTACTTCAAGGACAAGGTCTTGTGCTAGGAGAACGAGCCCTCTCAGACAGCCCTCTGCAGCTTGTGGTCATTAAGAAGGCCAAGCTCAGAAGCAAGGAGCCCCAGGCTAAGAGATGCTCCTGGAGGCTATTTACTACCCATGATCTTGACTTACCACAGTTAATATGAATCAGTACAGCCTGTGGACTACTAATTCATCCTAAAGCTGGGGTAGAGGTGACTAAAGCATTTCTTGGCAATGGGGTTTCTCTCTCCATCTGGTTAGATCCCACCCCCACATAAAGCACACTGTGCTCCCAGCTTTAGAACCCTGAGAAGTATGGATTTGTACCCTAAAGCTTTAGACTAACTCCCTAACTAGGTATGTTGTGAAATTATGCATAAAAATGAGCTCCTCCTACTGGAGCATTATACTTGAAGATAAATGCATTCCATTAATAACAAAAAATGCTTCCCTTGGATGAAGCGAGGGTGAAAATATTGAACACCACAGTGTTCAGGAATTGCATGTTGATTTTTCTCATGGCATTTGATCTGGTGAAAGCATTTTTTCCAGACACTTGCCCCTCCCAAGTCCTCATCATAAGGTTCTGAGACTAGATTGTGCTAGGTCCTATAGCTGGGAAAACCAATGCTCAGAGAGAATTAAATGGCTGGCCTCCAAATTCAGCTTCCAGCAGGTCAGAAAGCCTGTGCTTTTGCCAGGAAGCCCCACCCCCAGCATTGACATCTGCCACCCTGCTTATGTTCCTCCACTCCCTGCCAGCTCCCAGCTCCCAGCTCCTGTCCCAAGAAAGAAAAGTGTACTCACCTTCCAGCGTGTTCCTGCGGCCATCAGCGCCAATGATGACATCAAATTCAAAGTCAGAAAGAGCGTGGTCTGCAGGGAGGAATTCTGCCCGCCAACCAATCTCTGCCAGAACAGAAAAACAGACAAGCTGGCAGACAGAGGTAGGAAGAGACAGCAATGACGCCCCTGCTATGGTGGCCATGAGACATGAACCATGTTACCAGGTCTGTGCTCTAATGCCCCAGAGGAAAGGTCTAGAGCTCCCACACTCTTGCTAACCTGGTCATGTTCCTTCAATCCAGAACAAAGGAAGCCAGCAGCAATGCCAGCACCAGGTCTATCACCTGCCACTGCCAGGAGTCTGCCCTCTGTGATGCTACAATTAGTCTCTCTTGTATCTCCTTTTCTTTTTTTTTTTTTTTAAAGATTTATTTTTATTAGAAAGGCGGATATACAGAGAGGAGACAGAGAGGAAGATCTTCCGTCCGATGATTCACTCCCCAAGTGAGCGCAACGGGCCGATACTATGCCAATCCGAAGCCAGGAGCCTCTTCCGGGTCTCCCATGCGGGTGCAGGGTCCCAAAGCTTTGGGCCATGGGTGCAGGGTCCCAAAGCTTTGGGCCGTCCTCGACTGCTTCCTGGGCCACAGGCAGGGAGCTGGAAGGGAAGCGGGGCTGCCGGGATTAGAACCGGCGCCCATATGGGATCCCGGGCGTGCAAGGCGAGGACTTAACCACTTGCGCCACCGCGTCGGGCCCTTGTATCTCCTTTTCTCAGCAGAGTCTCCCATATTCTCTGAATGGTCACTAAATGTCCCAGGGTCTTGCCACTGCCAAACAGACTCAAAGGATGTACATGTTAGGTCTCACAAAGCCTGTCTGGATGACTGCTCCTTGCTCATGGCACACAGCCTTAATAATATAGATGTCAGGGAAGCCTGATTGGCTCCCATCCTCAAGACTGAAAATGCACTAGGGGACTGGAAATAATTGTATCCAGGGGATGATAGATGATGGAAGCTGTCCAGCCACATCAGTCTGCCCTAAACCTTAGATGCTTTTGGGCAGAAGATGCCAGGACTCAGAGGAGCACTCTCAACAGGAAACTGCAATGTCTCCAGCCCTGAGCTGGCTCCAACACACAGCTCTTTCCAGGAAGGAGATCTTGACCATGGAACAATGATAGGGGATTTGGGTGCTTCACTAACTGCTTGTAAGCTGGGTATGTGGTATTCACAGGCCTACCTGCAGATGCAACTATCTGGGACCCCTACATGTGGAAGGATGCACCCCCACCAATAGTTTAACCCCTAAGCCAAATGCCTACTCATAAAAGTCTGACTGTCTTTGCTGGATCTTCAACAATCTTACAGGTGCCACAAGTGCATCCACAGGTCCATGTGTAAACTGAACATTTGAATGAACTCTATAAAGTAACCAAATCCCCACTTTCTATTCTACTTACTGGTTAAACTCCATTTGTCAAAGCAGCCTCTCTTACAATCAGGAAGACCAAGTTATAAAAAAAGTTGAATGCATTAAATCCTGGGGCAATGAAAGAGCAAATCTAAGATGGCAGTAGGGTCCATGAGATGATGCCCAATAGCCAATAGCAGAATGACTCCCAGAAACACTCTGAGAAATCACACACACGTTGTGCATTTTGCAGGCAGAAATGGGTACCATACTTTGGTTTTCTTGGTCTTCGGGAGGCTCAAGAACCTTCACAAACTCCACATTCACGTGGATTTCCACACCCAGCATCAATGCCACCTTGAACAGGATTAACTGCAGCTGGCGAATACCTGTTAGGAAGGAAAGAGGAGAGTAGTGGAGTGGCCTGAGTGCCTCTCACACGCAGCAGCCTGTGACCTTAGAGCACAGACATGAACCACAACCCTCCCTGGGGAGCAGTAGCAAAGCACCAAGCACTGTGCGCCTTCTCATTGAACATGGATTGCTAGGATTGCCACTCTTTTTGTTAACTGAGGCTTAACAAGGTCTGGTGACTTGCAACCAATCATTCTAGGATGTGGGTGTAGGGCTGTCTGATGCTAAGACCCTGCTCTGGCCATCAAAGGATAGTCTAGTTTGGGAGGCTCTGGCTTTTCTGCCTCTTTTCCAAGCTCGGGGCTGGGTATGATGTGGTAAACCTGGAATAGGAGCAGACAGACAGCTCTGGAACACAGTACAGCCAGTGCTTGGGCCACTCAGATACAGAGCTGTGCCCAAGCTCACGGCCACTGGGTGCTGAGGAGTGGGGCAGGAAGTCCTCTCCCATATCACCAGCCTCGTGCTGCTCTCCTCTGCCTCCTCCTTGATTTTCCAAACTCTCCAAGTAACGAAACTGCAGTTTCCTCTTGTGCCCCTGGACACTCAGCATTAGCACATGTACCTCCCATTACCGCTCTGCAGCCTGAGGAGCTTCACCTGTGTGCCCAAGTTTACATACACCTGCTGAGCATCCGTTGCATGAATGTGCCATGTTGGGCAGGACTGGGAAAACCTGCCCTAGCAGAGGAGTCCCTGGACAGAGCAGTCCTGGAAGCTGGCAGTGGAGGTGACAGGACCAGCCAACCCCGTGGAGGGGTTCAGGGCTGTGGAGACCACATTAAAGGCCTCATTGAGGACACATTCAACGGTTGATTGAGGCTAGAGCTCCTGGAGACCTCAGCGACAGTCTCAAGGGCACAGCAATGAGGGAGAAAGAAAACCAACTGCATAGGGCGGAAGTGAGAATGAGAAGTATAGACTGTTGACACTCTATTTTCTAGAGGGATTTCTCTGAAGTGGGGAAAGTTAAGGAGGCATCAGCAGAAGGCTCGGGACTCCTGTGAGGGAAGGAACAGGTAGAAAGGAGGGACAGAAACCACAGGAAGCCAGAGATAATAGGAATGTGGGGAGGAAGGATGGGGTCCTAGGGTATAGAAGCAGGGAAACAGGCTGGCATGGGAGTGTGGCCATTGGCCTCTCCCTCAGAGAGCAGAGGGCAGGCACTGTGAGAGCCAGGAGGCCACTACCATCAGACAGCATGGGGAGCTGCTGAGTAGCACCAAGCCAGAGGACACAGCTGGAGCCATGCACCACTGAGGGTCTGGAAGGAAACCAAGTGGCTGGGCACTTGCCAAATTCAGCCTGCCTCCTGCCATGAAGCTGTCCTGCTAGGGGAGACCAGCACCTTTCAGCTCTCTGGGTCTTTCTGGTACTGGTGCACACTACGTGCACAGAACATTCTCCCTGCCTTCCTTTGCATGGGGGACCCTGTAGCTGCTCTGGGACAACACACATTCTGCACACATCACTCACTGCTCCAGAACCTGTCAGCAATGCTGTATGCTGGATGTGCGTGTTGGGAGCAGGTAGGAATTAAGCCATAGCCCCATCAGGAAGGACAGGAGGGGCTCCTGTAGGGAGGCTAGCCTGACAGCTGGCCCCACAGCCCTGCAGGGTCATGTTCCAGGTGCCTGGTGCTGCGTCTCAAGGGGCATAACGAAAGAGTAGAAGCTCAACATCCTGGTTGTCCTTGCGTGTAATCGATATGCATTCTTCCGTGGGTGGTAGAGGATGGCCTGCAAGCTGACGCTGCAGCTCTCCCAGCAGGGCCAAATTCCTTTCCGTTGTCCTCCTGGAATTTTCCCATCCCAAAGTGGGAATAAACTCTAGGGCCACTGCTGGTAAATTCGCTTGTGTCTGAAGAAATTATACCCTGTGTGGTGGCTAATTCTCTCCAGTCATCCTGTCCAAACCTCACTCCCTTTTCCTATTCATTTCTGGCCTTCTAAAAGCATGACTCTCAGGGCCCTCCCCCATCCACCTGGTCTGGATTCTGAAGGCTCTAGGCTCACTGTGACCACTGGCTATGAACCATTTTCCTGAGCAGCTACTACACACCAGTCAAGTGAGACCCTTAGTCCTAGAGCACCTTCTCAGCAATTCTGAGAGACAGATATTCATTATATTTAAAAACTGAGATGTGGGGAGGGTAAGGAGTTTGGGCCAAGGCACACAGAAAAGAGACAGATTAGGGACCTTGAAACTAAGTGTCAAGTAGCCTTTCACTAACTGATTGTAAGCTGGGTATGTGGTGCTCACAGGCCTACCCGCAGATGCAATAATCTGGGACCTCTACATGTGGAAGGATGCATCCACTGAGAGCCCACCCCTCCCTTCACAAAGCTTCACTCACTGATGTGGTCAATGGAGCCAGCGCAGAACTTTCCGTAGAACTTCTTGGCTCCCAGGCCCCGCAGGTCGTGGATGGTGAATGGCCAGAGGTGCAGCACATTGTTCCGGGAGAAGGTGTCCCTCTTTTCCACCACGACCACTTTGGCCCCCAGGAAGGCAAGCTCAATGGCGGTTCGCAAGCCACACGGTCCACCCCCAATGATGAGACACTGCAGAAGACAGAGAGGAGAGAGACGCTCAAGAACCCTCAGTCAACAGGCTACCAAGTCAACAGACAAGTGCAACCCACATCACCAGTGTAACACACAAAGCCCCTTGGTGCCACTATACCCTGTGCTGTGCCCTGGGAGGGGCAAAGGTAAAGGGACTTGGGAGATGCACATGAGGTATAGAGTCAGCCTGACCTGGGGTTTGAGCACTGGATTTGGCTTTCCCTGTTGGTGAAGTGGGTCCCTCCTCTTCCCTCACTGTATGTAACACATCACTTTGCAGAAGCACACAGTGCATCTTTGCAATCTTGGATGACTCTGTTGTGTCTTAGCTATAACACCAAGTGCATAAGTGACAAAAGAAAAGATGGTAGAATCAGACTTCATCAAAGTTAATGAACATAGTGCTTCAGTAGCACACTTATGAAAGTAAAAACACAAGTTATGAGAAAATATCTGCAAATGGAATAACTGAGCAGAGTCGGCAGGGGGTTATACTCAAAGCACATAAAGAATTTTCACAATTCAACCATAAATGCACAAACCATCCAATAAGCAAAGGAAGTTTCTTCAAAGGAGATAAACAATGACAAGTAATCATTTGAAAAGATCTTCAACACCATTAGCCATTATGGAAATGCAAATCAGACTGCAATGAGTTATCACTTCACAGCCACTGGGATGATTATAATGACAACAACATCCAAAGACAGAGAATAACATTGGTGACAACTGGAGGCACTGGAACACTGGTAGGAACATAAAATGATTCAAACATTTTGGAACAGTCTAACCATTTTTCAGTTAAACTCTGTATTACCATATAGGCCAGTCATCCTACTCCTTAGTGTAAACATCTAAGAGAAATGAAGATGTACATTCATATAGAAACCTGTGCCTGAATGTATAGCTGCCTCACATTCCATCGATAAAAATGGAAACAACACAAATGTCTATTAACTGATGATGAATAAGTAAAATGCACTCCACACTATGATGTATTATTTAGGTATAAAAGAGTGAAGATCCAGTATATGAATGAACCTTGGAAGACTTGAAAAAAAAAGATGCAAAGGGAGACTGACCCCAAGATTCCGCTGTTAGGAAATGTCCATAGTAGGCATGTACTGAAATGGAGGTGGATCAGTGGTTTCCAGGGAATGGGACAGGCAGGACCAGGAAGTGAGTGCTAAAGGACACGGAGCTTCTCTTTTTGGAATGTTCTAGAATTAGATGACGGGGCTGTGAACTGTATGCTTGCAAAGAGATGTGCTGTGGTGCATGGATCCCCATGCATCAGCCTGAGAGCAAATTCAGACTTTGAAACAAACATGTAAAACCCTGGGTGATTAGTTCTATTTGGTGCCCAGAAGGGGAAAAAAGCTAATCCTTCTTGGTGGATTGAATAGGACTTCCTAGGGACTATCTTCAAGATGATGATGACGATGGTAGCAGGTCCTCAGATGCTCCTCTCCCAGGAAAGATGCAGCCCTATTCATTGGGGAAGAAAGACCTGCAATGAGCTGGATCATTCTACTGGCCACACTTCATGTGGAACAATGACCTCAACACCAAGGAAAATGGCAATGCTGTGACTGAACGCATGAGATGGAACTCAAAATAATAAATGGTAACAAGCTCCTTCCGTAAAGGCAGGCTTTGACCAGGGGCCAGGGGCCTCCGCACAACTGAGGCAGCCCCTGGGAGCCAACAGACAGGGGCCTGTGCCAGCTGTTCCCTCCTCCACATCACAGGCATATGGAGACTTCCCTTGGACTCAGGATTAAACCTTATCTTAAAGAAATACATTCCCCTTCCCCGAGCAAATATTCCATCATCTGGTTATCAGTCAGCCAGGCCACCAAAACCCCAAAGGGATCATGCAAACAAATCTATCAGGAGCACCCCCACCCCAATCAGTGTGGATAACAGTCTGGAATCTTCTAGTGAGTCTGTGAACACCCAGTCAGGGGAAATGAAGTCACCACTGAGACACAGCTCACCCATCTGGGAGGCATGGTGGGCTGTGTGGGACTGTGGGTGGCCTGGTGGGATGGGGAGCAGCTCTTACAAGCCCAGCTCTACTCCTTATCATGCACCCCAAGCCTTCTCTGAGGCAGACAGAGCCAGCTAGGACAGCCAGGCCCAAGGTCACTCTCAGCCCGCCATTTGTGAGGCTGGCTTTGGGGTGAAGTTGGATTTGTTTCTTTTTTTTTTTTTTTAGATTTTATTTTATTTTTATTGGAAAGGCGGATATACAGAGAGGAGAGCCAGAGAGGAAGATCTTCCGTCCTATGATTCACTCCCCAAGTGAGCGCAACGGCCGATGCTATGCTGATCTGAAGCCAGGAGCCTCTTCCGGGTCTCCCACGTGGGTGCAGGGTCCCAAAGCTTTGGGCCGTCCTCGACTGCTTTCCCGGGCCACAGGCAGTGTGAGCTGGACGGGAAGCGGGGCGCCCATATGGGATCCCGGGTGTGCAAGGCGAGGACCTTAACCACTTGCCATCGCACCGGGCCCTGAAGTTGGATTTCTTGCATTGCTTTGGCCTTAGTGCATCTTTTCCTGTTTGCCTGGTTCTGTCACTTCAGGGCCAGGTGTAGACGAGGTGGTGGGAGGATGTGGGGTGAGAAAAGAAAGGAAAGGAGGGAGGAGTCCATCCCCCCACCCCCTGCAGCCTCTGTCTACCAGGTCTGACCTAGTACCATTTCTCAGACCAGGCAATTCCTGTTCCCACCAGTCAAGGGGCTACAGTGCATCTGGCATGGAAACCATAGCTGGTGTTTTCCTGTCCTACTGGCTAGACCTAAAATCCATTAGTGAAAGCTCTCCATTTTCATATCCGCCTAAGGCCCCAGCACAGATGTGGGGCCTGAAATCTTAGAGACGCCAGTCATACTATAAGCTAAAGTCAAAGCAAACACCAACGGCCCTAATTATATCACAGGAGGAAAATTGGGCACAGATGTTATCAAGGCCGTTGGTAGGAGCCAGGCCAGCTCCTTCCCGCTGAGTCCGCCTATGAGGATTAGCGTGGGAACTTGGCGTCCCCAATCAGGGGCTGGATGCCACACAGCCACATGCCTGGGCAGAGGGGCCCAAGAGAAGAACCCCCGCCCCGACAGTGCAGTGTTTGTCCTATCCATGCTCTGGATGTTGGGCAAGGTCCGCCCACGACCACAGATGCTAAGGGGTGTAACCACATGGCCCAACGGGGCTTTGTACTTTCCCACTGTCTACTGCTACTGAGGACGTGTTTCCAAGAGTAGCTTTCCTTAAAACCCATCCCTGACACCCCACCTTAAGCCTCCAAATCAGATCATGCCAAGGGAATCATGGTAGCCAAAGATGAATTTATTTCAGTGCAAAGCGATTTAAAATCCATATAGGGCTTTTTTCCTAGTACGCATTTTCCATGAACTTTTCAACAATCTTTCATATATTATCTCAAGTTTCTTTTAAATCCTATTTCCTATGAACTCTGAAATACCCACACACCTTCCAACTGAACTCCCATTGGCCCTGACCCACAGCCCATCCTCTAAAGCTGTTCCATGTCCTCTGCCCTCTGCAGGCACAGAGCCCGGCACACCTGGGGTCTGGATAAACAGCAGATGGGTGAATGAACTTCACATACCTTCCTCGGCCACCCAAGCCCAGCTCTCTGTCCTGAACTAAGGAGTTCAGCTTACAGCAGCCAATGTCCGTGTCTGCAGATTCCCACCCAGACTGCAGCTCTGGGATTGACAAGGTCACCAGCATCATCCATGTCCCATGTAGCTGCATTCAGGCAATATAAATCACTACCCAGTGCAGGCTGGAGCAGGGCCACCACCAGCAGGAAATCAACTGTAGCGATAAGCTCAGTAGAGTCTGGCCCGTCATGTTAGCAGACAAATGCGACACAGAAAAAACAGCTCTTTATTTAAGGGTGTGCAGTGGGGCAACAGCTAGCTTGTACGCAGTTGGGGCACGGGGGTAGGGTGGCCCAGCTCACACAGGACTCCTGAGCTACCCCACCCACACAAGCATGACGCGCTTCTTGATGAAACAGCGCATCATCCAGCTGCTCCCCTTCCTGACCCACAGTCACTGTGTTGTGCTGGCACCAGACCAAGAACGTGCGAGGGATTCAGTCCTCAGAGGAGATGCTGAGAGGACCAGGGCTGGACCAAGGGTTAGCAGACTGTGGGCTTCAATTCCTTTGTTGAATCCTGCCCTCTGCTTCCCTTGAGGGCTGGGTGCAGTGATGCAGAGGGCAAAAGCTGGGGGTAGGGGGGGAAGGGGGAGCCCTGGGGGAGGGCCAGTTGTTCATCTGCTGGATGACCCCCACCTGCACCCTAACTGCAAAGTTTGATTACAACAGCAAAGCTTCCCACTCACAAGCTACCATTCTTGTGGCCATAATTCATCCTTGCAGCTGTGGTAGAAGGGTCTTGGCATCATCCTTGCTGAGCAAACCAGGAAATTAACCTTGCTTGAGGGACCCTTACTTATCAGCATGCTTGCATTAGGTAGTGGAGACTCTGAGTAAGAAACATGCCCAGGTCATATTTACAAGTGGTCAGCTTTGGACTTGCACACATGTGGTATGGACCCAAGGTCAGTGCTACCCGGGAGGAAAGCTTGACTTTGGCAGGTGTAATCAGGATGGGTTGAGGCCAAGTTCACAAGGCCTCTGTGTGGAAGGACTAAGCTGTATCCAGGCTGGGCTTAGTTGCTTCCCCAGAGCAGACATCCACAGGCTGACTAGAGCTGGAGCCTGTGCAACCCCAGGAAGCCGCACTGGCAGGTGTCATGGCAGCTGGAGTTTGTGCTCAGGACAATGCAAGGCTCTGATAAGCTGGCAGCCCTGGTAGCACTCCAGGCAACAGGAGGTCAGGCATGGGGCTGTCCTCCTGGTAGCAGCAGCTCTCCCAGCACACTGATCTGCAGGCCAGCTCCCTGGGGGCAGGGCTCCAGTGGCAGCAACATGCTGCCACACTTCCTGCAGGCCTCATAG